TCCAGAGCAAAACTTGGTTGTTGGAGGGCACAAAAGCGACGAGCGCTCCCTTCGATAGCTTAGATGCTGAGGTAATGCCGAACGAAAGCAGTGGACGCAAACAAATGAATCGTAGCTTCAGGCTGGAGTAATATCAGGTGCATCTCTACACCCCGAGGGCTCAACTCCTACACTTCTTAAGTCCCTCCCCCTGAAACAACCTCCTGCAGTTTCACTTAGCGATCAGGCAGAGAACAGGTACTTCTCTCCCAGCAGTGACAGCTACAGCTTAACACCACCGATCGCCTTGGAGCTTTCCGACATCTAGGTATCTGGTAAGTACCTTTTTTTTTTTAAAAAAAAAAAAGGAAATGCTCAAATAAAGCGTGCTCGGGTTAATACGTGAAAAGCCAGGCAGAGGTGTTGGCTCTGCAGCTGCCTCCAAAGCCCAGGTTACTCCTAGCAGGTGCACTCGGGGCACAGCTTAAGACTTCAGCAGAAAGTTTCGACAGAGAAGGAGGCGTTTCAGTCTGTGAGAGAAAAGAGACTCTTACAACTTTTTACAATAATTAACTCTTGTTGGTGAAAAGTTGGTTTTTCATGCAGAAATGTAACGTATTATATAGAAGTAGGACAAGAACTGTAATACATTAGATGTAGCTTAAAATTGCTCTGTTTTGTCTGCCACCGAGTCTTTATATAATAGTATCAGGTTATCTGAAAGCTTGTATGAAAATAAGGTATTCAACTGCAGTTTTGATTCATTAGTTTTCCAGCTTCTGGGAAATTAGTAAGGCAAATGGGATTGCTTTGATTTTTCCTCTCTCTAGTCAGTCCAAATGCAATACGATTTGGAGTTATTAACCTAATATTTACAAAGATTTTCATTTCTTACTCGCTCTGCCTAACTAATTTATTTAATCAGCGTTGCTGTACTTCCTCTCACCCGCATACGCACTCTCCTCCTTGGTCTGCACCTTCCCTACACACACACACACACACACACCTTCCTGCCCAGTCCTCGCCAACCCACCGCTCGCACCCCTGTTTCTTCCTAGTTAACAAACAGTTGTGTTAAAATCTATCTTTCAGCTTAAAGGAACTGGAAGTTTAGAAGGGAGTGGGAGTTAATCACGGGAAAATCTCAACTAGAATAAAACTCACAAATCTTGTTCTTGCAACACACTAGGTAGGTGACAATGGCATGTCCTTGAGTTATGCAATAATGCCACATCACAATATTTTAATTATAGCATGTCCTTCAAAATGTTCCACCCCAGTGAGTACTCCTGGTCAGAGAGATCAACATCACCAAAAGGATCCTGCAATACTAATGAAGTGTGCATGACAAACTGTTACGTAGTCTGCTACAGCAATGTCCTAAAAAGAAACATAATTACC